CCATCATAAGTTATGAGTCCGATGAATGTCAAACAGCACAATTTATCTTCCAAATAATTTATGTGTTGCATAGCTATTTGGTACTTTATCCATACATTGTGAAACAGACCCTAAATATATCTAATGCCGGCCATACACACTGCGGTCTACCGGAGAGGTAATCTGTGCATCTGTGTGGACGATGACACGCTGGCGTTGCTTTAATTTTGAAGAAAAATGATACGAAAAGCAAGCGAAGAAAGTGGTGTAAGCATTGGTTATTGAAAAGGAAAACATATAGTCATGTTAATTTATTAAATGAATTGAAATTTGAACCAGAAGATTTTAAAAACTATCTTCGAATGGACGAGAAAACATACCTTAAATTACTTGAAATGGTAACTCCTATAATAAAAAAAGAAGACACAGTAAAAAAAAGAAAAGAAAAGTAAAACAAAAGTAATAAATGTAGATACATTGCCGATTACTATCTTAACAACCGGCGCAGGCGAGTACACGCACACACGCACAGGTACACTGTACGGTGTCACTCGAAAGAATCGATTTTCGATCTTGCGCTGGTCGCCTGCGCAGGTTCAAAAACCTGCACAGGTCTATTCCCACACACATTCCGGTCTACCTGCGCAGGCATACCTGCACAGGTGGACCTCTCCGGTAGACCGTAGTGTGTATGGCCGGCATAATGAACCTTGGACGTAGCCATGGCAACCAGGCAGTTACACTTCTGTATCTATAAAAGTCTAATATCATTCCAAATTCCGTCTGCAAAAACCAACCTAGGAGTTCAATGCGCTGTTTTGTTGGTAATTTATTTTTTCTGCTTAACAAAAATTACTGATATTTTTTTGGTATATTTTACTGTTTTTTTAAGAGCTTGTAACATATACCGTAGATATGTTTATCGAGTAAAAACATTCGTTGGGGCCCATATAATAAAAAAAAATATTATCTTAATTTTCAAGTATTAAACACTAAAGAACTATTTTGCATTTCAGAGCGATGGCTGTTTGCCTGACCTTGATGGTGGGACGTGGAAGTTCAGCTATTGGGATTAATGTCTTAAAGTCGCTTCTGACTTACGACTGTGAATTAGCATTCTACCTCTTTGGAGGTTTAACATTATGTAAGTACATGTAGCGGCATCAGATTGCATGTGTTTCGTTTTATAACTCCCTTTTCATAGTTTTTGGGTTAAAACATGCATTCCTTACGATGTTTTCCTTTACCGCATATAAAAGCTTTACACGATTAAGTTTTAACTAAACACTTAGCACCTGGGCACCTATTGTCACTTCTGTTTTAGGGCCTAATTACAGATAAGGCATTATATATTATAACTAAGCTATTCTCCCTTACAGGTGGTGGCCTCATATCGTTCCTTCTACCAACAGACAACAAAAAGCCATAAACAATTGAAGACTAACGTTGCATATCTCGTGCTTTTTGAAAATGACAGAATACACTGAAGGGTGAAATTGCGGGCCATGTATTGTGGTACAATGACCAGGTCCCAAATATATTTAATCCAAGATTGATATCTTTAAGTATCTACATCGATCTCTTCTCCACGAGATAATATTTATTTAAGAAAGCGTTACATTTTTAAACATATCTTCAAGATTTAAGTGGCAATAAAATTGACAGACTATGATGACAGATTTTGTCTGGCAATATGAATCTTATTATTTTATAACTGTGTGCGAATTTAAAATTTAGATTTACGATAATTTCTATATATACGTCAAAGATGTTTTAAGTAATTATTAATTATTTAAGTAGAAGCAATGGTTATTTAATTAGTACTAAGAAAGTTATTGTAAATAAATAATTTCATTGGTTGTCCTTGTTTTTTCTTTAAACCCGTGGTAAATTGAAACCTGTACATATAAGAAAAGCGGACGAAATACCTGAACATTATTTTGTTGCGGAATTATGTAGAAAACTATGATATTGTAGCCGCACTAACCTTTGACGGCAAATTAAATAAAGAATATAATACATCTGCTTCCTCCACCGATGTATATGTTCACAAGATATTCATACAAATCACTACTGTTGAGGTTGACTAAAGGTGGGGCAGTTATTAATGAATCAAATCATAAAATGACTGGTTCACGCTGATTTGAGAGCGACCGCCGATGCGAAACCCGCTGTGTGAGTTGAAAAGTAGTACAGAATCGCAGGGCAGGCCTCTGATTTCTTTATTTGTTTCATGATTATTTGTCAATCTAATAGGCAAGGAGGTGATCAGCCTCCTTTGCCTGACACACGCCGTCGACTCTTTGGGTCTAAGGCATGCCGGTTTCCTCACTCCTTCTTCACCGTACGAGCGAATGATAAATGCGCACATAGAAAGTATGTCCATTGGTGCACAGCCGGGGGATCGAACCTACGACTTCAGGGATGAGAGTCGCCCGATGAAGCCAACTCTGCTGAGGGCAAAATTAAATACTTGTAGGTAATGCATTGCCGGTATTTATTTGGATAAGTTTTGGTATCATGTTCGTATAACAATAACATCAAATACCTGTAAACCTATATTATACATGAAACCCCTCCAGAAAGATGTGGATATCTTAAAAACTACTGAACCGAATCTGATGAAACTTAGACCGTTCCTTAAGTTGGAATATAATTTCTAATTTTTACTAGGTAGTTTTACAAAAGTAGGTACACATTGTATGTATGAAATATCATCATTATGTAACATGTTTAATTTAGGTACTTATTAAGCTTTTTATTTTATCTATTTAATGCCATTTTTTTTATAAACTAATTAAAAGTATTTGTCTACAAATCAATAGGTAGATTTTTGTTGAGCTAGGATAATCTTAAAATTGTAACAATATATCCAAATGATATGGTATCCCTTGTTTCGTGCTAAAACATAATTAATATTTTTAATTTGACTGTACCCCACAAACACTACGGCTTTAATCAGTTGTCGGGCTATGGTAATAAACTCCGAATTGAAAGTTATAAACAAAACACGTAATCTGATATGTATTATGTAAAATAAATAAAGAAACTCATTAATTACCTTTAAGTGGCCCCGTTTCCAGATTGATTGTAAGGTAAATAATTTGTCACAAAAGAATAAAAACATATTCTCATTATATCTTCATAGTCTGTTAGGTTAGACATTTTTATTAATGGATATTTATACACTTCATTAAACTATTGTTTTTATCTACATATTTTCAATATAAACTAGGTTCCATCATAATATGTTTCATGAAGTTCATTCCCGTTTATAATCAATCTCATTTTTATCAAATAAAATAGTAAATATTTTGTTTACAAGATAAAAATATCTTCATTTAACACTTTTTTTAAAAAGAAAATGGGATAATTGTCAAGTATATAGTCAAGCCGTAAAATGAAATTGGTTGACAGAATGCCACGAGATTCCAAAAATGAGGTGAGTTACGAAGAGAGTTCTGTTCGTAAAATGAGTTGTGAGTCGTAATCAGGGATTATCAGATGCCAAGGCAGTGATCGTATACGCGTAGTCTCCTTTGAATATATATTTTACAGGTATAACAGGTTGCTAGGCTTGAATATTAATTTAGTTCTTAATTGATGGTAAGGACAGTGACACCAGAGTTCCAGCTGAAAAAAGTTTAGCAAATTAAGTCTTTTTTTTACAAAACAAAGTCAAAAAATAGAACGCCACTCCACAAACAACTTTTATGAAAGTGCTTGACTCTTTGATAAAACAAATAAGACAATGAAATAAATTATCCTATGGGAATGATCACATAATACGTATTGTTGCTGTTGCTGTTTAATCTTAAAAATGTCTAAATAATATATGAAAGGGCATATACTTACAAAATGCCACACTCGCCGCCACATAAAAGATCATTTCACAGTTGCTATTACCGGCAGCTCCAACTAAAGTCGTACCGATCAGTGAAGAGCATCGCGCTACCATGTAACCTAGACTCGTTGCAAGTCCCCTGAAAAAAAAACAATTACTAATAAAAATCCTAAATCTCTACTGGAGTTGCCGGCTATAAATTTTTTTTTATAAAATGGGACCAAATAAATTTAAAAAAAATCGTTTATATTCAAAGAAAGTGGTACATTCAGAATTATTAATGATGAAAAACCGCACGAAGCTATACAAAAATAGGCACGCAAATTATAAATTATCAAAATGTCAAAATAATAAGTTAAGTTATTAATAATTGTTGTCAAAACTTATGGTCTAAATACTCTCCCACACTATAAGTCAATAGTTATATTATTTATTATATAGTTATCACGTATACAGGTATGTTATATTATAACATACCTGTATATTTACACAAGCTTTACCGAGCGCGATTATGTAACTATATATATACGTACTTTGTTTACGGATGTAATCCCGAAGTTATTAAAGAGATTGTGATAAGCCAAAATTATACATATAAATAAATAAAATTACCTGCAAGACGTAGGATATAAATCGACAAAATATGTAGATACACTCCCTATACCCACGAGCGTTGTTTGCATTAATGTGTAAAACACAACACTTGCCAAAGGTTGTCTTAAAACTGAAACCTGAAACACAATACAACGTTGATTACGACTAAGAAAGCCATTATAAAAACAATTACACGAAATGTTTGGCGCTACAACACTTAAATGTTTTGTTCTTGGATTTAGGTGATTCGGTCTGAAAAAAATACAGATTTTTTAAGATTTTCTCCAAGCCACATATTGGGAGGAATTAGACTGAGTGTTAGGTGATTAAATTGTGTGTCTGATGTACCCATATCATCGGTTTCTAAATCCATCCACCATTCATCCCATTTTGCTTACAACGTTTTACTTTACTGTAAGAACAGTTGTTAATTTAATTACAAGTATGATTGCATACATAAAAAGAAAAATCCAATGTCTCAGAGAGCAAACCCACGACGTAAAAACATTGCATTGTATCATAAAGAAGATTGTGATTAGTTAAATTTAAAAATAACTCAAAGTGAAATTATTTTTACCATAACACTGCTAAACCCAGCAAGTAGAAATATAGAAATCAAAATAATGCGTCGATATGAGGCAAACTTTGTAACCGACAAGTTCAATACAGCTACAAATAGACTAACAGAGGCGCCAGAAATAAATGTCTCTTCCGAAAGCGTATCATTGCAAGTTACCTGAAATGAAAATTATAGTTTCAATAACTGAAATTAGTTCTGTTAATTCACGCAAAGAGTGAACGCCTGAGAGAAAAGAGAACCGTTGTAATCCATCAAAAATGTAACATAATAAAAAACCCGTTGCACTATGACATACGGGAGTTATGCTAAGCGGTAAGTCTAAACTCCAAATCTCACTCTAAGACATGGTGGTTCTCACACGATATTTTTCTTCATCGTACGAAAAACTGATCAAGGTTTGCCGGCCACCCATCTCGTCGTTTAGTCAAACTACTATACATAATCAATAAAAAGGTAACTAATGGTATAACAAAAGTATTAAATTAGCAAATAAAAATTCACTAAATCTCCCGCATGTGTATGTCAGAAATGGTCTGATCGACTCCATTGACCGTTGATTTTCTTGTTGCTTTGGTTATTAATTGAGATTCCTTCTATTTCTCATTAGAATCATAATTTATTTTGATTAGATTTGTTTTTTTATTATTTAATTGTTTCATAATTTAGAAACATTACTGTTACGACCAATCAGAGCCAAGCAATTCCTGGAGTGGGATCGAGGCGCCCCCGCCATCTTGATTTTGGACACTTCATTCAGGGAACGCAGGGTAGTTTTGGTTGGGTATTCGGCAGAGCATTGTGGTAATGAGACGTTGGAGCATGTGATATGTGGTTGAGTAGATTGTGATTAAAAGTGAGATCGGTGCCTTGAACCCGATCGTTATTATTTAAGCTTAAGGTGTTATTTGTAATGTTAAAATAAATCAATCTAAATTAAATATTGTACGATGGTTATGACGCCCACTAAACCCGCTAATGACGGACGGACATATATATTTGTATATGTATATAGATTTTGATTAAACTTTGTTATTTGTTAATATACCAGGGTACATACATTAGCGGCGATTTGTTGTGATATATTGTTGAATCCGTCACAAAACCTTATATCACTACTTCCCGATGAGATTGATTTAAACACCATATCAAGCATAGTTGGTAACCACATAATCGAAACATTACTTCTGAAAACAAAATATCACGTTTGTTATACAACATGTTGTGTATGCTCGTTGGTTTTTATTAATATTTATACCAATTTTTAATTGTTTTACTTGCAGTGCAACAGAAGCATTTTACATTGCTTTCTAATCACTATTATACGTAATAAATACATAAAGAGCTAATTCAAATATTATACATACATAGCGCAAGCCAAAGACAGTAAATAGAACAACTGCAAAGATCTCCAAAGCAGTGGTGGCTTAAAAAGAGGTGATGCGTGTCTTACAAACTCCACACAAAAAGACGAATCGTTATACGGTTTCACATTTAGAGGTTTTATCTGAAAAAACGTTTCTTTGTTGTAATTATATCTGTGTTAGTTTAGCCTAGAGATAAGGCGAGCCTCTCTAAACCTGAGGTCTAGCTTTCAATCTGTACCTACACCAATGGATTTGTTTACGTGTGCGCAATTAACAATTACTCTTACGTTGAATGTAAACAAGAAATGAATGTGACCTAGGTCACTTACTCGCCCCTAAACTTATTCAAGAAACACGATGGTCTATAGACGTAAATGTCATTTTATTTAAACTGTTTTTGTTTCCTATTAAGAATAATGGAGATATTTAGGATTCAATTCTTTAATTTTATAAAATCTAAGTAACTTAAGTATAACTTTTTCAGCGCCTCCGTGGCGTAGTGGTTAAAATAGCATTTTTTTAAATTTAATAATTGTACTTCCAAATATCCAAAACCTTTCTTCTTAAATTAGGAATTTATTAATGAATTTGGATTTTATTACAATCACTGTCAAGTTCAAAACACATGCTCACCACAAAATCATCTCTGTTTCCACCATTGGTCACAAATATATTTGTCAATACTTCCATAGCCTTGTCATTCTCTCCTTTGTCTATAAGAAACTTTGGACTTTCCTCAAGGAAAAGCATCATCAGAGCGCCGATGCCCAGTGGAATGGACATAACAAGAGTATACAGCCTCCAAGATCGAAAAGTGATCTCTAACCAAGGTATGAACATTGCAATAGATAGTGGTAAAATGAAATACGCAAGACCTGTAATATTATATTTTAACATGTAAGTATTGTGCTCGTACAGTAAAGGAAAACATCGTGAGAGCTAGCTTGTCTATGAACTGGAAAACCAACGACACCAAAAAGCATACAAAGTTAATCAGTCATACTGGAGTGGCACGATGTGATCAAAACTTACCAAATGATACAACTTCTCCACCTATATTCATTGTGTTCAGTATAAATAGGAATTGATTCCTTTTTTTCGAGTCCACACTTTCTCCGAGGTACGTTAGAGTCAGCATAAATAATGAAAGCGTGCTGTAAATTAATTTCAAAGTTTTATTAGGGAAACAATTAGACATTTTATATTCATCAACCAAGAACCTACGACAACTGTCGACTCTGTATGTCTACCAACACAAGTAAGAACGACCAGCGACTATAGAGCATTAATTGTGGTTTATGAGCAGGTAACAGCTAGTAAAGGTGTGTATAATAGTACCGTTATTCCTGTAAATAAACAGTGACTTGGAATTTTGCAATGTAACTAACGTTAGTAGTAGTTAGGTAGTAGTTTTTATGCATGTTTATTTAAGATTAAACCACTCACAATGAAGATCCAATCGCTTTCGTCACCAGCATCATTTGCCAATTGACAGAAATGCTACTTATAGCCCCAAATATGAAACCAACGGATGTTGAGAGGAGTATTGCCGTCCTTCGGCCTTTTGAGTCAGCGAAATAACCCCAGGGATATGAAAAGACCAAACCTGAAATAGACAGCAGATATTTATGCACTAGACTATAATGCTCTTACTATCTTAATTGTAAGCCCCGGGCAACAAAGTCGTAAAAGCAAATTTGTTTTTTTTTTTCAGGATATATACAATCAGTATAGACAAATACATATATACTGCTCAAAACAATTAGCGGAACAAGATTTTTCTCCTTTCTATTGCTTAAACTAAAATTAGATTTAAATTAACTTGTACGCTATTTTTTACCTTGTTAATTTGTTAATTACTACAATTAATAAAAAAATTCAATTTGTATTTTTTTTATTTAAAAAAAATTAAAATGTGCATTGTAGACGAAAAACTAATTGGTGATAAAAAAGGTCCATCAAAGAAATATTCTTATATCGTTTGAATATTCGTCTTTAGTGACTTTCAGTAACGTGTGTGGCCTCCATGAGCCCTAATCACGGCTTGACAACGACGCGGCATGCTTCGTATGATCCTCCGAATATCTTCTTGTGGAATTCGCTCCCATTCTTCAATCAACGCTTCAGTGAGCTGCTGCAGTGTTTGAGGTGCAATCGGACGCTTCCGGATGCGCCTGTCAAGCAAGTCCCAAATGTGTTCAATTGGATTTAGGTCAGGGCTCATGGAAGGCCACTCCATTACACGGATTTCCTGCTGTCGTAAGTAATCTGACGTGATGGCTGCAGTATGCGGCCTGGCATTATCTTGCATTAAAAGAAAATCTGGGCCCATACCATATGCTGCGGGCCAAACATGATCTTCGAGCACATTTTCAATGTAAGTTTGAGCACACAAGCGCCCGGGAACAACGACGAGATCTGTGCGCTCGTCCAAACTAACTCCGCCCCAAACCATCACAGAGCCACATCCAAATTTGTCATATTCCTGGACTGCTGCTGCACTGTATCGCTCGCCTGGGCGTCTGTAAACACGGAGACGACCATCGCAACGTGTTAGACGGAATCGTGATTCGTCAGTAAAAAGCACTGGCCTCCAATGTCGAAGTTGCCAATTAGAGTGATTTTGCGCGAACTGTCGGCGAGCTTGTCTATGTTGAATTGTTAGACGCACAGCCCGAACTGGTCGGCGTGATCTCAAATTGGCTTCCAACAACCTATTTCTAACCGTCTGGTCGGAAATTTCTACACCAGTAGCCGTCCTTAGTGTATTTTGTAGATCTCTTGCAGTTGTGGTGCGGTTACGTAATGCACAGTTGACGATGTAGCGATCTTGCAAACGTGTAGTTTTCTCTTTCGACCTTGACCACGCCTTCGTGAGTATTCTCCCGTCTCACGGTATCGCTTCCAAAGTCTGTAGATAACAGAAGGGGCTACTCCTAGATCATTTCCTACATAACGCATAGTTCGACCCTCTTCAAGCAAAGCGATAGCTCGGGAGACATGCAATTCAGTCAGATCTGGCATTATGACCTAAACTCACTCGCTTCAATGAATAACAATACTCAAAAGGCTCACTTCCATTTCTATTAATACTCAAAAGATTGAAAAAAACTACTTAAAATCTGTTTTCTGTGATTAGAAAGTAATAAAAATTCAAAGACTTTGTTTTTCGTCTACAATGCACATTTAAATTTTTTTTTTATAAAAAAAATACAAATTGAATTTTTTTATTAATTGTAGTAATTAACAAATTAACAAGGTAAAAAATAGCGTACAAGTTAATTTAAATCTAATTTTAGTTTAAGCAATAGAAAGGAGAAAAATCTTGTTCCGCTAATTGTTTTGAGCAGTTATATGTTAATAAAATTGAAAACTTAGATTGTAATCTATCTCGCGAGATTATAATCTGTCGAAAGATTGTGAACCTCAGCTACTCTTACAATTTAAGTATTATTATTCGGTAGATTGTAATCTATCGAAGTGAAACCGTCAAATTGTGAAACGGTTATTTTCTACTTTTCTATTGGTTATAAGAGATGTGACATTCTCGTTTTCTATTGGTTATAAGTGATGTGAATTCTCGGTAAATTAATCGAATCGATTATTTCCTCATTTGTTAATTTTAAATTAAAACCTAATTTAACCATTATTTGTCAAATGTACATACATTACATTAACTTATGTTTCAGTTAGTGTAGGGTTCGAAAATTTTGAAATTATTCAAAAATAATCTATTTTTTAAAAGTGAAAATATTTTTGTATTCGATTTCAGTTTCATTAACATTATTTAAAAAAAAAAATTAATAAACTAACCAACCAACCAATAATAATACATTTTTGGACACTCGCCTACGGGAATCAGCCCCTCCACCCTGTACCCAGAATTTATTCAAGCCTCCTCTTCTTCCCCTCCGATTTTTATATACACTCTAGGGGTAGGGCAGACCACGTATAGTGGGGTGCTCTATTCGGTTTTGGGTACTTTTTGAATAATTTAATTATTTCGGAATCCTACACTAATTGAAACATGAAGTTAATGTAATGTATGTACATTTGACAAGTAATGGTTAAATTAGGTTTAACTTTAAAATTAACAAATGTGGAAATAATCGATCATTAGGTTCAAATTTAAAATTAACAAATGAGGAAATAATCGATTCGATTAATTTACCGAGAATGTCACATCACTTATAACCAATAGAAAACGAGAATGTCACATCTCTTATAACCAATAGAAAAGTAGAAAATGGCCGTTTCACAATTTGACGGTTTCACTTCGATAGATTACAATCTACCGAATAATAATACGTTAAATTGTAAGCAGCACGTTGAATTCACAATCTTTCGACAGATTATAATCTCGCGAGATAGATTACAATCTAACGGTTTTTACAATTTTACGGTGACATATATATCAAATGAAAGCTTATTTTTTTTTCTATTTGACGATTTAAACATTGTTGTTATGTATTTAGTGAAAAAAATAACAAAATGTACATTACAATAATTTATATAACTAGACTGAAGAGAAAAACCGTTTTATGATTGTTTTTCCTTAAAATAACAACGGACGACACAGTAACTGCATATTATGACGATGACACATTTTGACGAATGTCTAGATCGTTACTCGTATTCTAACCACACTTTTCGCGAAAATATGATGACGTTGGTAAAACAGAGATGTAATATTAACCACTCTTATTGTTGTTAAAGTGTCGCATTAACTTTTATGATTATTTGGTAGAATTACAATATAAACTAAAACTACCTATCTATAGTTATTTCTATCTATTTCTGGAAATTTAAATGAGTATTACGAGTTTACATCACCCAAGGAAATAAAAATGCCTACGTTTGCCTCCTATTACATAAAAAATGTTTATTTGTGTGATAGAAATGAATGTTCTTTGTAAAAACCAAGAAATAAAATGAGTGTTCTGAAAGTATGGTAAGTAGTAAATAATGTAGATTCTTCTGAAGGTGCATCAGCAACAAATAACTGGTTATTCTACATAGGCGAGAGAAGCTGTAAAACGTCGACTAAAAATGTAAACATAAATATATTGTTAAAGAGTTTTTATTAATTATTATTAATATTACCTAATAGATCCCAATCAAAAATCTCCTACTACCAATACATATACGAGTATATACATATCTACTAATTGACGTGCCTATACTAATAAATAAATATATATTAGAAAACCGAGCAAGCGAATTTTTACGTTACGTTTATAATTGGAAGAATATGTTAATTTAGTAATTAAAAGTGAAATTATATAAGTAATTGTTCTATTTCCTTATAGATAAAAAATAAATAGCTTCATAGCCTTGGAAGGGAATGGAAACATTTGACTTGCTCAGAATAACAGTTTTGATTTCGATGATCTCTTTATATTTCCATTTTTTTTTAAAGAATGTCGTAAATCGTTAGTGAAATAAATTAAATCTACATATTTAAAATGACCACAAAATCACATAAAATGCCACAAATGTTGCCTTTTGTAGATATTGCAGATATTACCGACATATCAGCAATTACCTTCTGTAAGGGTTCATTAATTTCTATGCCCACTCAAGATTGAAGATAGATCCCTCTTATATTTACAGTGATTTCTATTATATACGTAAATTGTTATATTTCTAATTGGTTTAATACATGTTTATTTTTGCTGAATATTACCGTAGAAAGGCGAGCCCACCAGCACACCAACCTGACTGGTGGTGAGCCCCAGTTCACATCTGGAAGCTGCTACTACCACGCTGAATCCAAATATATCCAATGAAGCAGCGACGATTGTTACACAGCAAGAAAATAATACCATTCTATTGTATCGTCCGTGACCTAAAAATATTAAATAAAAATTTCATTTGTATAAACACAATAAGTGAGTGATTAAATTAGAAACGTATGAATTTGCATAAGTTCTTGCTTTTAGTATGCACTCAGTAAATTTTACAATCCTTAGGTTACAGTATAAAAGTCTAAGCTAAGTCTGTGTATGCTTTATAAATCTTGTGGTCTTGACTTGGAGACATATAATATTTTAATTAAAAATAACGAAAAATATATAAACGTACCTGTGAGATTAAGAGCATCATCAAAATCTCGATCGTCATCTTTTACGTTTGACATTTTAAACTAATTTTCATTTAAACTAGGGCAGCAATAAACTTGAATATCGAGCGAGGTACAATTGACTAAATAGAAATGAGCATTATAAAAGGCCAGTCTTTTGAATGTGGGAATGGCTTACGTGTTAATTTTTTTCTAAGCAGTATACGTAGCAATTAATAACAAGTGACGAAAATTGGTCTGAATCTATTGTTAATATGCGCACGCTATACTTTAACTTTTTAGTATAATAATTAGTCGAATAAAAAATATAATAAAGTAGATTAATTGGTTCTTATGAAAGTATTTATGAAAACGCCGGAATGGCGTTTTAACACTATGATATCTTCTTAGACGTTTATTGAACGCAAATTATGTCAAGGGCGATTTTGTACAAAATAAAATATGTTGTTGATTATTATTTGGATAAGAAAACTTTCGCCAAGGACTTCGTTCGAACTTTGTAAGAATTTGGTCAGACATAATTTTTGCATAACTTTTAACCTTTTTACAGCGCATACTCGTCCCCAATAAGGTTTACATTTTCCCGTTTTAACTTCACCCCATCATTTTCAAAGAATTTCAGCTGGTGCTTTGGAGACCTAAAAGATCCTCGTAAAAGCCTATCCTTTGGAGCGCATAATCAGTCCCCTAAAAATACAGGTTTGAAAATAATTTATATCTTCCCAATGTATAGGAAGCAATAATATTTTGATCATTAAAGTGAGATCCTCAAAGTGAAAAAAAGATTATGCTCAGCACAATAAAAGTCCTGCAAGAGATCGAAGATGCACGACTTTCCACCGCTTGATGGCAGATGTCAAAACGTACTTTTGACTGACAACTCATATATTAGGTTCTTACTGAAATGGGTTTTTCTATGGCCACTTTAATCACGATGTTCTCCTCTTTGGTAAGGAATTCCAAATTCAAATTTGTACAGCTATTTACTCATGTATATGTGCTTCAATGACCGTCATTCATTTGTTTTTTTCTTCTGTTTTTTTCTGTTTGCGTCACTCATTTTACAAAATGGAAAACTTAAAGTATCGCATTATTTACGAGTACGAGTTCCGCCGTGGCACTAGTGCTGCGGAAACGACTCGAAGGGTGAATGATGTGTATGACAGTCATGTTGCAAAAGAAAACACAGTTCGTTTTTGGTTATTTCGACCTGCAGAACAAGCCCCGTGGACGGCCTGAGTCCAAGTTGATAATGAAGTATTGAAGGCTATTGTGGAAGCGGAACCATCGCAAACCACGTCCGAGTTAGCTGCAGGCTGCGGTGTTAGTGATAAAACTGTTTTAATTCACTTGAAGCAAATTGGGAAGATTAAAATGCTTGAAAGATGGGTACCTCACGAATTGACTGAAGCAAACCGGCAAACGCGCGTCGACTGCAGCGTTACATTACTGAACCGGCACAATAATGAAGGTATTTTAAACCGAATCATTACCTGTGATGAAAAATGGATTCTTTACGATAATCGGAAGCGCTCAGCGCAATGGTCCAACCATTGCGTTCCTGGCCAGCCAGCCAAATCCTGCCCCAAGTGAAAATTAACCCCAAAAAAGTTACTTGTAAGCGTTTGGTGGACTAGTGCCTGTATTGTTCATTGCAGTTTTCTCAAATCTGGCCAGACTATTACGGCTGATGTCTATTGTCAGCAATTGCAAACTATGATGGAAAAGCTAGCGGCTAAACAACCTAGGCTGGTCAATCGCTCCACGCCACTGCTACTTCACGACAACGCTAGACTACACACTGCACAACAGACGGCTACCAAATTAGAAGAGCTTCAATTGGAATGTCTATTCTATTTTATATTTTAAAAACTATTATAAAAGTAATCGGTACATTACTAGAGTACGTTATGGCTTTTCTTTGTTAATAAAGGAGATTATCAGTTTGCACTAATAACTCTCCTAGTGTGATATTTAGATTTCCAAGCACGTATATTGCTATGTTTCTATGTCTGTTCACAAATTTATAGGAAACTAAATGTCATATCGATAAGATTCTGTTTGATTCGAATCAGGTATATTCCAACGGTAAACGTTTAGTTTCATCACAATTTTCTTTTTGATAAATTTGGTATATTTTTTTACTCAAAGACTATAATTTTTAAATATTAGGTCCTTACATATGAAATTGGCGTTTTGTATGGGAGGAACAAAAAGTCGAATATTTTTAAATACAATATATTTAATTTATCAAAAAAGTATGAACCATTGTTTTCTATGCACTTTTGCCATCTCATAGGTAGTTCATTGATCCATTTACTAAAAAAAACAGTCGGACGGGAATCAATAAAATCTGTGAAGGCGATTTGGACTGCCCCATCAGAGTTAAATTTTTTCCCTTGCAAGAAGTTGTCCAAATTTCGAAAAAAAAATGGTAATCTGTTGGAGCAAGGTCCGGAGAGTACGGAGGATGTCTTAGACATTCCAATTGAAGCTCTTCTAATTTCCTAGTTTATTTAGCAGTTAGTTGACACCATTTTACCATTTTCCATATGGTTTGCAATTGCTGACAATAGACATCAGCCGTAATAGTCTGGCCAGATTTGAGAAAACTACAATGAACAATACCGGCACTAGTCCACCAAACGCTTACAAGTAACTTTTTTGGGGTTAATTTTCGCTTGGGGCAGGATTTGGCTGTCTGGCCAGGATCCAACCATTGCGCTGAGCGCTTTAGATTATCGTAAAGAATCCATTTTTCATCACAGGTTTTTTATTCGGTTTAAAATACCTTCATAATTGTGCCGGTTCAGTAATGTAACGCAGCAGTCAACGCGCGTTTGCCGGTTTGCTTCAGTCAATTCGTGAGGTACCCATGTTTCAAGCTTTTTAATCTTCCCAATTTGCTTCAAGTGAATTAAAACAGTTTTATCACTAACACCGCAGCCTGCAGCTAACTCGGACGTGGTTTGAGATGGATCCGCTTCCACAATAGCCTTCAATACTTCATTATCAATTTGGGTCTCAGGCCGTCCACGGGGCTTGTTCTGCAGGTCTAAATTTCCAGAACGAAAACGTTGGAACCAAAAAGGAACTGTGTTTTCTTTTGCAACATGACCGCCATACACATCATTCACCCTTCGAGTCGTTTCCACAGCACTAGTGCAACGGCGGAACTCGTACTCGTAAATAATGCGATACTTTAAGTTTTCCATTTTGTAAATTGTAAAATGAGTGACGCAAACAGAAAAAAAACAGAAGAAAAAAACAAATACATGAGTAAATAGCTGTACAAATTTGAATTTGGAATTCCTTACCAAAGAGGAGAACATCGTGATTAAAGTGACCAGTACGAAATACGCCAATTTCATATGTAAGGACCTAATATTAAAGTATACTTTCAGAACGCAGCCATTCGTATATGGATGCCATTCATCGTGGATGCATTTATGCGATCTCTAGAGTCGGGTGAGAAAAGTCTCACCTTCTGTGCAATGTTAAGATATTCACAGAATCAAACCGTGACTGAGGAGAGATTAATTACATTTCACTATTATGATATTTTGTGTCCCACAAGGCTGTGTTCTATCCCCAATCCCGTCTTCTGCATATCAATGATATGTTGCAACTTAGCCGTTAACTAACTGGCCGGGCAGGTATTTTTTGGCCAGTTGTCGATGAATACCGAAACAAACTTTGTCGCTTCTCCTCTTTTCAAAGACACTCTTCTTAAAGCCACAGCCAGCATCGGAATAATTGGCGTTGATATATCGAACAGTTTCGCGGTCATTTGGAAGGAAAGGCTAAGATATCCTCTAAGAAGCTTGGTGTGCTCAGCAATGCGAGACGGTACTTCACTCCGGGCTACCGCTTGCAACTCTATAAAGCGCAAATCCAGCCCCACATGGAGTACTGTTCTCACGGGGCGGGGGCTCCCCAGTACCAGCTCCTTCCACTTGACCGAATTCAACGAAGAGCGGTTTGAATCGTCGACGACCAATCCCTCTCCGAGCGGCTACGTGATCCTATGGCGTTGCGTAGAGATGGGGGGTCACTCTGCATCTGAGTCATCTGCAGCTGAGTTTTATCATCGGACGTCGAGGCAGAATATGAAATTCCACCCGTTTCACCTCGACGTCCGCCGTTCCACAACTGAGTGTTTTTCAAGACAGTTTTTCCGCGCAAAACCGGTATGTGGAACCAGCTGCCCACTGAAGTATTTCCGAACCAATTCGACTTAGGGTCCTTCAAGAAAAGAGCATCATCAATTTTAAAGAAAGCATTGTTAAGTGCCTATCTCATACCTAAATCCGCTGTTTTGCTGGATTTTTTTTTGTAACATTTATGACCTACATTACCATTTACCTTAGATATGGTATTATGTATGATGTGGTAAATATCTTATTCATTTTTATTTTTATTTTGACACTTTCTACAAACACTTATCAGTTGTTGGGCTTTGGGAAATATAAACTCTGAATTGGCAGTTATAAACAAAACACGTAATCTAATATGTATTATGTAAAATAAATAAAGAAACTCATTAATTACCTTTAACTGGCCTCGTTGCCAGATGGTTTGTAAGGTAAATAATTGGTCACGAAAGAATAAAAACATAGTCTATAGTCAAAGTCTGTTAGGTTAGACAATTTTTTTAATGGATACTTTTACACTACATTAAACTAGTGCTTTTATCTACATATTTTCAATTTAAACTAGGTTCCATCATAATATGTTTCATGTAGTTCTTTCCCGTTTATAATCAATCTCATTTTTATCAAATAAAATAGTAAATATTTTGTTTACAAGATAAAAATATCATCAATTAACACTTTTTTTAAAAAGAAAAGAAATTGGGATAATTGTCACGAAATATATAGTCAAGTCGTAAAATAAACTTGGTTGAATGCCATGAGATTCCAAAAATGAGGTCAGTGACGAAGAGAGGTCTATCACTATTGTAGAAGATTCAACACAGCCCTGCGATTCTGTAACTCACTTTTCGAACTCACACAGCGGTTTTCGCATCGGCGGTCGCTCTCAAATCAGTCGAGAAG